CGTCGCTCGTCGCCGGGTAACGCTCCGGAAAACGCTATAACGGCAGAAAAAGCCGCGTGTGAAATACAGGAGCGGATTGTGGGAAGAGTTAAGTCGTCAGGTGAAAAGTAACGTGATCTCTTAGAAGGCGGAAAAACTTAAGAAAACGTCACTGCGCGTGTTTTAGAAATTACAAAAGCTTTTCCCGAAAAGGTGATGCGCTCTCTTGGTCGTTTAAAATGAGCTTAAATCTTCACCTGTAAGATGACGGCCGGTTCGTAAGTGGCAGGAGCGCGGGTGGGCGCTGTGGGGTGTCCTGCGCCGCCCTCCGCCCCCGGGCTCATTTTTTTTTCGCTCTTCCTCCAGGTCCTCCATCCTGAGCGAAGTTTCTACCCGGTCGCGATCTAAGTTGCCATCGGGCAAGAACATTCTTGTTTTTGGTAAGTAGCATACGCAAGCGGTTGGGTGGTTGGGGTGATGTTTTTTGTAGAAACAAAGCGTGTTTAAAACAGTGATGTGAAGGAACTGACGCGTCAGTTTGTTAAAATGAGGTTGTGTAATGAGATCTATTGTGTTTTTGTCTTCAGACTGGTGGATTTACTTTCTTTTTGGTTTATGCTGTTAGATTCGTAACATATATTTAAGCAAATGGAATGTAATACAGAATATTTAAGTGTTTCGTTCCTGTTGTCATGGTATGTCATTTCATTTATCTGGAACACTTCAAAGAAAACAACAAATAAGTGTGGTGCAAAAGCATACGGGGATACTTCTGATTGTTTTAAGTGTGTTTTCAAAAATCTTCTCTAAGAAGTTAAAATTAATTCTGAAAGTGTCTTTTTTTTTTTCCTGTAAAAACTTACTGGCAGGTGATGATGGTTCAGGTAAAACCACGCTTATGGCTAAAATACAGGGAGCAGAGCATGGGAAGAAAGGCAGAGGGCTGGAATACTTGTATCTGAATATTCACGATGAAGACAGAGATGGTAAGTTCATTTTATATGTAATCTGTTCACTGTAATTAAGTAGCTGACGTACTTTTATTATAACTGTGGTTTCATCAGTGTGTTTTGGGTTACGCCCAAGCAGTTGATCCCAGCATTGTTCGGCATGTTTTAGAACCTGTATCAATTTCTTAAAAGTGGAATGTATTTTGCATTCAGTGTACGTTGTCCCTCTTGCCCTTCTTACAGCTTGACCTGTGTACGAGCAAAACGTACACTTGAGCGGCTCTCGGGATCCATTTACTTTTAGGGTAGATGCATTTGCTGATGCTGACTGCCTAGCAGATAGATTGTCATTTGGTATGACTACTTGATAACTATAGAAAGTAACCGATACATCTTTGAGAATTTAATTCTCAGTATGAGTTTCTGGACGTGGGGGGTTGGTGTGCTGTTGCAGGGCTGGGTGCGGAATTCTGGTAACTGTAACCGAGATGTTAGAATTGAATGAGTGAGGAACAGAACATAAAGTCAGAATTAGTATTTCCTGTTCTCAGATTGGAGCTTGTCTCTTTGCCCCTTGTCTTTGTTGCTGTCGATTGATCTTCCCTACTACATGGAAGGGGAATGATGAGGAGAGACTGCTTAAAAGCAGGTCTACTGATCAGAATACCACTGAGGTGAGGGAGAGATGGGGAGTGAGTTCGTTATTCTTGTCACTAGATCTGCTTGTCTCATTTTGGGCAAACTGCTGGACCTCTTTGTGTTAGTTTGCGTCTTCAAAACTGGGGAATGACAGTCTCCTTATTCACGACTTCCTTCTGAGTTTTCAGTTCAGAAGAGGGAAGCAATGATGGTGGTTCATCCATGTTCCTGAAAACAAATGAACTAGCGAGATCCTATAATGGTATTGTGGAACTGGAAATGTACTGAAGGCTTGCACGAGTGATTAAGTACCATATGTGACTGGTTGTTATGGAGATTGGTCCTGCGCTCACATGGTAATAAACTGTCTTTGGATACTAAGTTAGGCACAATTAAAGGATGAGTACATTGCCTGCGTCTTCAGTGGCCACCTAATCTTGCAGTTCCTAAAAATCTTTTGTGCTGTAGTTTTAAGTGCTGAGCCATTCTTGGCTTCCTGAGGTTCTTGGTGTAAATGCTTTCTGACCATGCACAATCTTCTTTAGTACTGCATAAATACTTCAGGGGGGAAAAACCCCCTATGATTAGGAGTGTTAAGACAGCCTGCGACATGAGGCTTCTTGCAACATCAAAGGAGCTGGTAATATAAGCAGAAAGATGTTTGGTGTGCTACTTTTCCTGGTGCTGTCTATCAAACCCCGAGTATGTCCCTACTTTGGAAATATTTTGGGCCTACTCCTGAGTATCTGGAAGTGAGAAGTATTTGAGGTGATTAGGAAAAGCCTGTCATAAGAACTCAGGCAGCACTAGCAGGAAAAAAAATGGCCTTTTTGACTACCAGACCCAGCTGGAGAATTCAGGTCTTCATGCATCCCTTTAATGGATGTGTTAGGATCTAATAATACACTCCGTTTTCCTTTCTGTCTCATCAGTGTCATCAGCAAGCAAAATAAATAGCAAAGTGGGTCAGGACCTCCCAGCAGGCAAAGATATCACTCTTCTTTCTCTAGCACAGCTCTGGTTTTGTTTCTTTAAAAACTTTGTGGACTTTAGATGTGTGTGTGCTCAGAGAGAGATTTAGGAACAAAGACTTTATAATTGACCCACAATTCTTGGAAGCCATAAGGAATCTGCAGATAAGCATTCAGGAGCTCACTATCACATACTTGGGTCTGAGGGTATCTGCTGCTTGTTATACCCCAATCTACTCAAGACCAGCAAACCACAAGGGTTTCCAGGGGCGTCAGATCAACGCTGGTCACTGGAACTGTAGTGGAGTGAAAAGATCTTTCCGACCTCTCTCCCAGGTGCTAGTAGCTTTCTTTGCTCTCTTTGCCTTTTGCTCTTCGTTTCAGACGAGTTTGTTCTGTCCAGGGGAAATATTTTGGTCATAGTCCCGAGTCATCATCTACCTTAAACCTCCCTTCAGAAATCTGAAGGAAAATGTGTGCTGCTTCTTATCCCCCCAGCCCCTTCTTCTTTAAGGGATGTTTGAATCTGGCTTCTCCTACCCTGAAGTAGAATTATTCCAGATTGCTAGGTGCGTACCTTAGTTTGCAGTTACTTTTGTCTTTTCCCCTGAAGATTAGATCAGTGGTTAAATTGTTGGGGGTTTTTTAGTATGAAAGTTAAACGGGTAGAAAACAACTCTTCTGAAGGATCCCTGTGGCTGATGCAGGTGCCCGCTAAACTTTTTGGGCTTCACTGTCATCTGCTTGTTCCTTGGCAGTGGCCGATGCCTAGCTTGGATGGCAAGATAACACATGACCACGGCCTTGGTAATTAGCTGGTTCGTTTCTGTGAGGTGTTAGTTGTTCGATGTAACGTGCAGTAGTTTGGTCCTTAGGTCTCAGGATAACTTAGAATAAATCCATGGCTGAATCTCTGCCTGAAAAATCTCCTTCCCAGGGTACTATCCCCCGTTCTGCCTAGGCTAAGGCATTGCTCGCGAAGAGGTTCAGGGGCGCCTGAGAAGCAATGCTGAGAGCGAGAGGATTCTCCTAGATCGTTAGCCCCAGGTACAATATTCTTGGAGCATATAGCTGCTTCTGCATCCGTGACACCCTCGTTCGTCTGGATGAGGCCACTTATAGCACTAGCTGTAAAGTTAATGCGGAATATTAAACGGCCTTGGAGCTCCGGCCCTCGAGTCCTCTGTTAGCGGAATTCTCAGGAAGAGCGACCAGTTTTAATTTTATGCCTTTCTTTGTGATGAGCAGATGTTTTATGTCTATGCTGGTTAGTCTGCTTTTGAGAGATGAGAATCTTAATTCGTAGGAGGGAGCAGAGAGGCTCTGCGTAATTTTGTTAAAGGATATGTGGCTTTCAGAGTCTCTTGCAGTGATGGGGCAGAGTTAAAGTGAGGATGTGCACCAACACGGTGAGACAAACTACATCAACTGGTTTTGTGGCGGTACGGTATAGGTTACCTGGCAGTTATAAACACCATAGAGAACTTTCAGTTGAACTGCCTCAGATTACCAGTGCAGTACAGCTGTCCTGACTGTGCCAAACACGCCAATGAAGTAGAGCCATTCTGTTGTTGCATTCTTACTTGTAACAAAATCAAGTAGTCTTCTGTTTTTGCCTCAGGTTTGGACTGGCCTCAGCCATATCGTATGCATATTCTAGTTGAACTGGTTGTTTCAGATTGAGATGAGTGCTGCTAATGGGAAAATTGGGGTTTTTTGTCAACATCTTTAAAGTAGTTCTCTTGAAAATTATTTTTCCCTGTTTTGCCTCTCTCCGCAGCTTGGACAAGGGATATCTAATTACCACTGATACCTTTTGAATAAATGCAGGAGATGTAGTTGCAGTTCACAGAATCAACCATCTGCAGTAAAATTCATTAAAGCTGGGAGAATCTTTTTCATGGCTAAAGGGATAATGAAATATTGACAGGATTTAGAAATGTAGTTTTAGCAGCTATTTTAATAGTCCTTATTAAGTAGCACCTGCTTTTCCAACAGGATCTGGTAGTTGGTTGCTCAGTTTTGGTGTCTCCTGTCGTAGCGGCAATGAAAGGCCCAGTTACCATTCACATCATCTGACTAACGAGGAGCTAGATGTGGTGCTGACAAAGTTGAATTTGCCATCAAGTCTTTGCCAAATTGTGAACAACCACTACTGTATTTTTCAGTGTGTTTTATATTTGTAGCAAATGTAAATCAGAAGCCATACACCTTTACTGTAAGAAAGGAGGAAAACCTTTCATTTTCATACAATGTTGGTTTTGGGGTTTTTTTGGAAAGTACATGTTAATGCAAGTGCTAGGCTTCCAGTCTTCCTAGCAGATCGATTTCATTTGAGTGATAGTTCCAACTGCATTATAGTTCCACCTCTATTCTAGTTCCAGTCTGTATTCTAGGTGTTAAGCAGAAACTAAATCCTTAAGTAGGACAAAGGTGTTTAGCAAACAAAACCTTTGTAACCTTCAGATATTGGCTTAAAAAAACTGACTTAGAAGGAGTCAATTAGGATATTTATTAAGTTTTGTTACTTGCTAAGGTGTGAAAGTCTTTTCCACAATCATAGCACTCACCGCAGGAGAAACTATAAAAGTGCTGATGAGTTGTAAACTTTCATACACTATAGGTAGATTTAAGTTAGATTTTTTTAAAAACTTTCCTATTTGCTTCAAGGAGACCATTGTGCATAGGCAAAGTTAATGTCTGTTAATGACCTTTCACTCTTAGAAAGCTCACAGGGTTTCTATTCACTGGTAGATTTCTGCTTTTGGGAATTTACAAAGGATGCTGCTGGAATGCAGAGGATGAGAGTCCTGCATAGATGTTTCATATACTCTTGTGTAATAGTAAAGGTGTGAATGCGTTCGCGTTAAGTCCTACCTTCCTTTCTGCTTTTCCAAACTTTTGCCAGACAATGCCCGTGTTCTTAGAGGTCTTCCTATAGCTTTAGGTTTCGTACACCCAGTGCTGTGAGAATCCTGTGTGGTATCAGTGAGTTGGTTTCCTGAAGTGGGGGGGAGGGAGAGGGGAAAAAATTGATGAATATGCAAAGATGCGTTTCTTATATACACAATGATTATCATAACTGTTTACTGCAGAGGACAGGTAGGAGATGCACGGTTAAGTTAGAAGCATAACTGTTGGCCTGCTTGTGTGATGACTGATGTCTGAATGTCTTACGGCAGCCTGGCAGCAGGAGCATAACAAATGCTAAATGAAGACTGCCCGTGTATAGTATCTTGATGTAATCTGTCTGTAACTTGGCTGTTCAGTAATTTTAACCAAGACCTGATTAGAAAGGTAGTATGTATATCTCTGTATTCTTTTCTCCTTCCAGTTTCCTGTGTCAAGCTTTTGCCTTTATCTAGAGCCAGTGGTTTTAATTTGGACAGAATTGGTTGTTCAGAGTATCTGATACATCCTTTCTGGATGATGCTCCCTTTTCAGTTTCTTCTGTTCTTGCCAAAGTTCATGTTTGGGGTAAAACTTCTCATGCCATCTGTCTGTCCCAGCTGATTTTTCCCACCTCCCCACCTTGCATTTCAACAAAAAAATCCCAGTAACTATCAAAACACTGCGGGGGGGAGTTTTGTCCAGTACTCCTCCATAAGGAGTGTGCAGGTAGGAGCTAAGTCGGTGTGAACGAAGAGCAGGTAGCACAGCTTTAAAGTTTGGTAGGTTGTAAGTTTATCCTGTGTTTGCTCCTCCTACTCCTGTGCTAGAAACCTAAGCTGCTTATTGCTTGTATCTTGTTTGCAGCTTATTTCTGTTGAGAGATGTTAAACCGGCTTATGTGTCTGAGGGACACCTAAGGCTTCTCTGCTGGACTCAGCTATAACCACCCCCTTTTCAACTTGGAGTTACACACACGTGTGTGTCACACGTATTCTGGTTTTACTTGGAATATATGTATTTCAAATTCAGGAATGCTGTACAGCGTCTAAAAACCAGTGTGTCAGCTGTCCTTAGTAAAAGCCAAAGAACAGAGATTGTTTTTTAAACAAAAAGATTCTGAACCAAGAAAAAATCCCGTTAAATGAAAGTGTCTACTGAGTAATGTAGGCGTTTACACATGCACCTGTGTTAAAAACACGCAGGAGAGATCTGCTGGTAGCTGGGCTTTGGTCTTTCATGTAACACTAAAGTACTCATCTGTTTGCCCCCAAACTAGGAAAGCAAAAAGTTGGCATCTGTTGGGTTTTACAACTGTACCTTTTCCTTTCAGATCATACTCGTTGTAATGTTTGGATTCTGGATGGAGACCTATACCATAAAGGGCTATTGAAGTTTGCGGTTTCTGCAGAATCTCTGCAAGACACCATTGTAGTCTTTGTTGCAGACATGTCTAGACCCTGGACTGTTATGGAGTCTTTACAGAAATGGGCCAGTGTCTTGCAAGAACATATTGATAAGATGAAAATTCCTCCAGAAGAGATGAGAGACATGGAACAGAAGTGTAAGTCTTTGTGCATCTATATGTTCTTGTCTTTTTTTTTTTTTTTTTTTAACTAGCTCTTGCAACTTTCTTTTGTAATGATGAATTTCTTCAGATTAACATTTTGAGAATGGGTTGGATAAGAATTACTTTGAAGTTGTGATTACAACTCTAATTCAGATAGACTCTTATTTGGCTTTAAAACAACTCTTCCAGTTTTGCTGTGCTAACAAATCATCAGGTGAATTACTGGTCTTGCATAATCCCTTGTAATAACGAGATTTTGATAATTTGATTTTTAAAAAGGCCAATTTTTAAAAAACTAACTCCATACAGAATCACACTTTTAAAATAGTGACAGAATTCAGTAATGAAGTGAGCTGTCTAAGCCAGGTCCCATTGCCATACTGTGTTTGTCTTCCCGTAGGTCTCTTTGTCCTCGTTTTTCACGAGCCTCAGACTGTGATCCTGGTACATCTAATTGTCTCTCCCTACAGCCACCCCTACCCTGTGACTTTAGGAATGTTGTATAAATTAACTTTCTTTCCTGGTGTATCTGTGTCAGGAAAGAATCTGGCACTGGCAAGCAGTCATCGCTGCAGTATTGTTTCCTGCAGCTTCTTTTCTTTCCTAAAATAGTTTTCAGTGTTTCTTGAGAGTTTTTTCTGTTTTCATATTGAATTACCCCAAAATAAATTCCTTCGGTGGAAAAGACCTTAGCAACATGCATTCCTTTTCAGCTGAAGTATAGGTTTGGACTGATCCTTGCTGGTTGCTGCTTTTGTTCAGGGCGGGTGCCTGGCTGTACTGGAGTGTTTAAACCTTGCAAATACTGCCTCGTAGCTTCCTTAGATTCTCTTTAGGGAGCAGTGTCATCTGTTTGGCATGTCAGCATGCAGATGTATTTGTGTAGCTGATCTCCTTTCTGAATGTTGAATATTACTTTCCCAAAAGGTTTGTGCCTACAGCATACTAGCCAGAGTTTAAACTTAATGACAGAAGCCCCCTGGGTTTGATCACCAGCTTATATGAGAGAAAAAAAAAAAAAGTAAAATCTGAGAATTAAGGGAAAAAGGTTGTTTGGGGTTTTTTTGTATGTGTGAGAGATTTTTTTGGAATGGGAGATGGAAAGGCAGTTTTAGTGTCAAAATACAGCAGCTAACCCGATTTGCACTTCTCTGAGAGACACCAATTTTTATGGCAATCCAAGTGCAGTTTGTGCACTTACATTTTACTTTTGGAAAGAGAAGTGTTTTCAGCCTTCGCTGTGTGGAGGAGCCAGTTACAGCTATGGCAAGGCTTTAGCACTGTCTTGGCGGAACTTAGAAAACATTCCAACAGTACTGTCTTTAGAGATTTCTAAATTAAAGTAGCATAGAAGTTCCTAGTTTCTCTTGCGCTTTAGTAGAGTTGAGGGAAAAGGAAAGTTTGAGAGCTGCCTATTTCACTTGCTTGCAGGTGTCTGCGGCCACCCTGTGATGGAAAACAGAGGTGACCTTTGGTCCCATATCATCATGCAAGTAGAACAGGGCCTCAGTGTCTCCACTCCCAAACTTCCTTCTTGCTCCTTTTCTCAGGCGCTGTGTGGGACACTTGTGTCATCTCAGATCCTTGTCTTCTGAGATCTTGCACACTGTCCCTGAGGCCAGATCTGAGCTCAGAGCTTTGACCACCATAGCTTGTAGTTCCCTTGATGGCAAGTCGTGCTAATAGAAATTCCTATGATAGCTGTGGCTATATTAGTGTGACTGCTTAGACAACATAGAGCACACGTGCCTGAAGAATGCCTTGTGACTACAGTCCGTCAATAAAGCTACACCAGCAAAGTTTCCTTTACTAAAATCCTGCTGCATACGCTTCCTGAGATAAGCTGCCACTTAGAAAACAGAATCGCTGTGTTGCAACAACCCAGATACGAAAAAAACTGGGATAATAAAGCACATATGCAAAGCAGGCAGTGAAAATATAGAAACAGCGTGCAGAGTGAAGAGATGTGCCAAATTCGTTCCAGTAAAGCCCCACTGCAGTGTAACACCACAGGGATGTACATGTTTCTTGAGATCAGCTTGTAGAACCATATTCCCTTACGCTTGCTTCTAGCTGGAGCTGGGGCACGTGGACCGAGCTGAGGTCCACAGTGCTATTACACTCAGTACCAGCAGCCAGTAGTTCTGTTGACCCCGAGGAAACATTTTCTAGTAGTATCCCATTAGCATCCATTTAAAGTGCTGCTAGGTTGTTCTTTCTCCATTACTGGGATCTTATTACCCGTTTCCAGAAATCCTTTTGTTGGCTCACCGTTCCCAATGGAATTGAACTTTGGACTGCTTGTCTTTGCTGTCAAGGTTTTCGTGGCCTTTCTCCACCCAGCCTTTTGTCTTGTGTTTGCTATTTGAGATACGGACTCTTGGCTTTACTGGGTGGATGCTGCTAGGCTCCATCTGGCATGTGAGAAGCTTCCCTTTTGTGTTAAAGAGCTTCCAGAATGGGAGGCAGGACACACATAAGGAAGCAACAGGCTGCCTTGAAAGAAATTGAATTATTTAGAGTATACCAAGAGCATTGTTTCTCTGCACTCACTCCTATCACTGAGCTGCTCTGGAAATTCCTTGCTAAAAGCTTGATTAATGTGGATTCGGATAAATAATGTTAGTTCAAATGTATTTTAATTCAATCTCAATTATGATAAATCATTGTTTAAACAACACATTTGAATAATTATTTCAGGGGAAATCTAAATTTTGCCTCCCTGTTTATGACAGCAAAGCAGAAAAGACGACTGTCAAGAATCAAGAAATGCAGAAAGGAAGTATAATGGTAAAATGACTATTATATTAATGACCTCTCTAGCGTTTGAAGCTGAAGACTTGAAACACAATAACAGTTTTTTCTAATAATTAAGTACTGTCCCGTTCAAGCTCAATTAGTGTCAGGTTCTCTGCCTTTTTTTTCTTTTTTTTTTTTTTCTTTTCCATACAGCTGAAAGAATTCTTAAGCTAAACGAGAAGAGAGACTTACTTTGCCCGCTCATCCTTTGTCTAGGAATTCTTTTCACAGGACTAAAATTTATGATCAGTAAAGACAGCGCACAGAAAAGCTAAAAGCTACGTGAATTGATTATGAAATAGAGTGTAAATATAGAATGTCTCAGAAAAATTTTCTGTGTTGATTTCTTGTTCTGCTCTTCAGTGCTTTTGTGATGTATCTAGTTCAGTAAATTGCAGCGTTTGTCTGCTGTTTCTGTACTGCAGTCAAACAGTACTCCAAGACTGAGGATTTTATTGTTACGTGCATCATCTTATCTATATTTCCTGTTCAAAAAAAATTCAAATCAAAATCATTTTCTCCTACTTCTTAATAAAGAAAAGAGTTGTTTCCCATACCGTATAGAATGCAATTCCTTAATATGAATTGTGTGGCAGAGAAAATACTCATAGCTCGCTAGAAAAAAAAGGAAAAATATCTATGCAAGCTGTTTGGGTGCATGATGAACTTTCTGTCCGTTAAAAGTTTGAGAGTGAAAATCAAGTGAGAAATAGATACGGAAGGTAAGGAAAAAGTATTAAATCGCTCTGTCACAAAAAACACCTCTTTAACTGAAGTGAGCTTCTTTATTAGCTGCTTAGAATGCAGGTTGTTCATAAGGGGTGGTCTGGCAGCGCCTGTGATACAGGTTTACTTGGATTTAAGAAGACTAAATTTTGAATGGGAATGGGGGTTGAAGGAGGATCTTTAAAAAGCGTTCAAGAGCCTATCACTAACGGGCATTTAAACCACTTTAATTCTGGAAGAAGTGTGTCTGCGTTCAAGATACAGTAGTTAGAGGTTCTCAGTATAGCTTTTACCTTCTTTTACCTCCAGTAATTGCTTGTTCAGGAGATGCTCTTGTTAACTGAAGCCGAGTGGATTCTGTAGCGTTTCTCAGCCGCCAGCCGGGGATGAATGCCAGACCGTCATCTGTGTTACTAACAATCCACAACAACAGTTCGTCTCCACAGGGAAGTGTTTTCTGCCTCCATACGTGGATCGACCAGCGCGAGATACGGCGTTGCTGGCCGCCGTCTGTGGTGCCGGTGTTTGGTACTGCTCCCTCCTGGGACAGGGCAGATTCCCAGCCGGGAGTGTGGGCTCTCCAGGAGCCCAGGTCTCCAGGTCTTCATTCCCATTCAGGAGAAATCCATGAGGATGTGCCATCAGAATTCTGGAATTTCTCTGTTGCATTTGCTGTTGTTTGTATTAGTAAATTCTTGGGGTGTCTTGAATAATGATTTGCATCATGTTGTCAGAGTCTTACTGTTTTCAAGAGAGGCTTTTCTTGGCCAAATTTGAGGGGGTTTATAGTAAAAGATATATCCTAAAGAAAAGATTTTCCTGTTGTGATACGAACAAAACCTAGGAAACTAATCTTGTCTGATTATAGTGCTGTAGTAGATTGAGAGCAGTATTGTCAAATATTCTTTTACATCTGATTAAGTCAGAGAGGCTTATCTGAGTGATTGTAGTGGATGTAAATGGTGTTCTTTTAACTGCTGTAATACACTTGTCTTCAGTGGGCTTTTTTCTGTCCTGAGCTAGGAAGAGTCTGAGTAATGAGGGTTTTTCTAAATCCTTTTCTAGTTAAATGCTCTGGAATTAATTTGCTTTCTGTGAGATGGTCAGTAAACGTATTTGATGTGCAGAATGTATAATGGAATTTTGATTTCCGGTTGCTGGGTATGAAACAGTACTAGAGGAAAGCATTGCTGTTCCCTCTCCACCAGAAGGCACTGCCTCCCCAGCTTTCAAAGCAGCTGCATTTGAAATATTTTTTATTCGCTTGGACCTTGGGATATATTGAATTGGTGGTTGAAAGTCTTACGGTCTATTTGATGGGGTTTTTTAAGCTTTTCTCTGGACTAGAGCTCTCTTGTTTTTCCCAAGTTTGCACAATTTTATATTTCTAATAAGAATTGTAGAATGTGCCACCTTGAACAGAAGTGGTTTTCTGATTTGTTCTTCCTTCCACATGCCCATTCTATGGCAGGAATGGTTCTGTTTTGAAAAGGAACAGTGAATTCATTTTGCAAGATTTTTATTATAAACTTTTCTGAGGTGTTACCACTTCCTAAACCTCTGAAGTATCAGCAGGCCTGCAGTACAGTCGCAGTTCCTTCCCTGTCACATGCATGGATGCACTAAACAACGCTCTCTTTGTGCATGTGTGGGAGATGGGGAGCTTTTCCAGAGAGTTCTCCTTCCTGTACATACAGTCAGCCTGCTCCTGCTCTTCCTAAAATAAAGGTGCCTTCATGGGAGCACACCACGGGCTCCTCTTGGCTGAGGGAGGCTTCAGGTGGGATTGCTGTGTGAGGAACAGCCCCAGGCTTCGGGAAGTGCTGTGCCCAGGAGCAGAGACAGCCTGGACGCAGATTGGTCTGGTCTGTGGCTTTCATCCTGAAAAAAAGACCTAAAAGCTGTAAGTTGCAGCCCGGGTTTGATAAAGCCTGTGTGGGGTCACAGTGCACAGTTGGTGTGCAGAAATAATACCATTTCTTGGGCACTTCAGTATTTGATAGCATTCAGTATTATCATCGTTGCCATAAAATTTAAACATTGAAAACATAGAAAGCATCTAATTTTCTCTGGAATCCATTGTAGTTTTCCAGAATATAGCAGTTTCTTCAGATAACAACATTTAGAAGTCCTGGAGTCTGTATTTATGCAGTGTATTTTTTGTATTTCTAGCATGAGACTCCTGCAACGGAAGTGTACAGTAATAGAAACTTAAATGGAGTAATAGCTTATAAGAAAGAGTGGCTGTTTCAGCTTGGTGTTTTCTGTGTCCGTTGACGTTTTCACCATGCTTTCTTCCAAAACTAGGTACAAATTGCAGTGAGTACAGGCTAGGTTGCTAAACTACCTTTACATTTGCTGTTGTCAGCTCCTCTGTAATGAAAGGCATTGTGTCGAGGAATGTTCATTTGTGCATACTATAGCTCTTGCAGCTAGTTCTGATTATTTGAGATAGCTCCAAATTGCACTTGATTTAGCTTGCTGTAAATTCTGGTTGAGGAGCATTCTTGTGTTTGAAGGGGCAACAAGTAGTTCCTCATTTTAAAAAGAAAAAAAACCAACCCTTGAGACTTCTAGTTAGTCATAGATTAATTATGGTTTAAAAAGAAGAACTAGTTCCTTTGTTGTACCTTAAGAAGATGTGTCTCTTCATAGTTATAAAGGAGTTTCAAGAGTACGTAGAACCTGAAGAAGGCTACCAGGGATCACCACAGAGACGAGGTCCTTCTTCTGGCCAAGAGGATGAACATGTTTCTTTGCCGCTTGGAGAAAATGTGCTGACTCACAACCTCGGTATTCCTGTGCTGGTAGTTTGTACAAAAGTGAGTTTCTAGTTCTGTTTGCTACTATGGAAAAGTTTAATTACTTTTCTCTGAGAAGGCATGCCTTATACAGACATGCAAAATGAATTCTGGATTAATAGTAAAGGGATTTATTTTAAAAAGTAAGCTTCTGCCATCAGTGTCAAGTTTTAATTTTGCAGAAGAGAAATAACCTTATCAGTTATGTGCTAATTACTTTATCCTTTGATTTATTTGTGGCATTTCAAAACCAAAGCCTCAAAGTAAATATGATGTGTGTGTAATATTAAGGAGAATGTTTGAATCTGTGCTGGGATTAAATGACTGGGTCTTCCTGGTGTTGTTTTTCTCCCTTTCTTCCAGTGCGATGCAGTGAGTGTACTAGAGAAGGAGCATGATTACAGAGAAGAACACTTTGACTTCATTCAGTCACACATTCGTAGATTCTGCTTACAGTGTATCCTTTCCTGCTCTGGAGAGATTTGCTGTAATCTGGAAGTGAGAAAATACGTTTCAGTGTTGAATTGCACCTAAAGTTAATCCGAGCAATTGCACTTCAAGATTGCTTGGTATTTAGTTACTTACTATGTAGCATTTGGTGTTTTGAAAATGTTGAGAGATATGTAAAACTTTTTATAGTTTTTAAATTGTGGATGGTGGGATTTGGAGCTTTCCTTCCTTTACAAAGGGCTTGTCTTGCGTTTTGCGAGGTTGTTTTTCTAGGTTTTCCCCCCAGAACTAGCAATTTCCACGTAAACCTGAGATCTCAGCTCTCTCTTAAGTTTTTGACTTTTTCAAAGTGACCTACCCTCCCCAGGCACTTACCTTGTGTATGTCGAAGAAACGTATCATGAGTGTTCTCCTGTTATACCCCCTTCTCCCTGAATACTAAATGGCTACAGCTTCTGCCTTGAACTACTTCTCAAAATTAGGTCTAGTAGATATACGCCTGTTAGCTCCTGTTTTGAAATTCGTACTATAATTGAAAAACTCTATCTTACATAATTTTCCTTAAATAAATGATCAGATGGGGCTGCCTTGATTTATACATCAGTTAAGGAGGAAAAGAACCTCGATCTGTTGTATAAGTACATTGTACATAAAACATACGGTTTTCAGTTTACCACACCTGCCTTAGTGGTAGAAAAGGATGCAGTTTTTATGTAAGTCAATTGTATCAGCAGCGTGGTTTCAGATTGTTTTCTGTTAAGCACTGCACTTTGTATAACATATGTGTATATAACTAACTTGAATGGTTTGTGTCATTCAAAAGCTTAGTATGTGAGTGTTCTGAAATTCTGAATTAAAAAAGCAACTTAGTGCCAATTACTTGGGTTACTGGACTCTGAGTATACCACACCAGCTTTTTAGTATCTTCGGAATTTAGCTGAGAATTGGGACTGACCTGTAATAAAATTACCTTATTCAGGTGAACGGCAGTAAACAAATGGTCTCTGTAGCAGTGCTTTTTGTGACTGAAAAGGCAAAGCTTTCCCTCTTTTTATAGACCTGCTGGTTGGGACAATGAAAAGAAAATTGCCATTTTACATGAAAACTTCACAACAGTGAAACCAGAAGATGCATATGAGGACTTCATTGTAAAACCTCCTGTAAGAAAGGTAAAAAGGAGTAAACTCTTCCCAGCCCACTGACAAATAAGTGCAGTTTGCTTGAATGGCTACTAATAATATTAAAGAACTCCAAATCTAAATGTTTTGGGTTTTTTTATCCAAATGTGTGAAACATCAGGCTTTCATTTTCCAGTTGTTTAAAATACTGCAAGCAAACACAGAAATTGATCACCTTTGTGAGCAAAAGGCAGTCCAAAAATAACCATTGCCCAGGAGGCTTTTTGCATGCGTGGGGCAAACCCACTTTTTGAAAACAGAGAATGCTATTGTAGGACTTCAGCAGTTGACATACATGCACACATGGCATTGAGGTTACCATGTAAGGACACCGTCTTCTTTTACAAGATTTGCATCACTGTTGCATTAACATATTATTAATGACAAATTTCTTCATGAAAGGCAAGAGTAGTATATAATCCCTATAAATTCTGGCTATTGCTTGTTGTGTGAGTATAGGCACACAGGAATAGGATAAGTGTAAAATGGATAATATGGAAAATTGTCAATGACACTGTATTCTGGTCTGCATGGGAGAGCTGCTTTTACAACTTTGTTACACGCCGAACGTTTCTAGCTCAAGCCCCAGTATTTGCAAAAGGGAAGAGCTGTTTGAAGCTTTCACGTAAGGGAAAGGTTTAATGCCGTTGTAGCTCATGGCACCTGTAGGAAATGATCATTGGCTGGTAGCGGTGTTAGGACTGATAAGAGCTAACGCAACGCTTTTGGCGGCTGAGGGATTGAGTGTGGGCCTTACAGAGTAAGGCAGTCTCAGGTCTTTGAAGAGATGCTGAAGAGATTAATACCTAAACTTAAAAAGATGAATGTGGCTACTTACCAAGTACTCATCTTTCTAGGAGAATACCCACAGGCTGCCATCAATGCTGGTCTACTCTAGTCACTTCCAATATTAAGGTTTTTTTATGACAACTTCTTTAATGTTACTTCTCTTTTAAATGTGACAGATTTTTTTTTTTGTTTAAAAAATGAAAATGATGTTAAAGATTTACCTCTTTTCCTTCCCTTTTGATCACCAAAACATAAAAACAGTTACAGTAATTTCACTTTGTACTTCTAATAACAAAATACTTTGTTCAACAGTTAGTCCATGATAAAGAGCTGGCAGCAGAAGATGAACAAGTATTTCTTATGAAGCAACAGGTGAGAATGGAAGAATGAAAATAAGTCCTTACTAAATAACATCTCACTTTAAGCTCTTCATTGTTATTGCCTTCAGTTTTTCATTCCTCATTTAAATCACTAGATAGCCACTCTTCAGCTTTCCAAATTCAGATGTCATTCTGAAATAAGGCTTTCCTTTATTTTAACCAATACTAGTAGAAAATATGGCTGCTTTTCTGGCAAGTTGAAAGGAAGATAACCTGAGAACAGAAATAATTGACGTTTCAAGGGAGAAGAGCAAGAAGTTAACTTGAAATTTCACAACATGGATGTGTTGATCTGTAAAATATAAATACTTTTAAAATGTACCATCTTAGCATTAGAGTTTTCTTAAAGCCAGAGGCTTGAAAGACTTTAAGATGTCAAAGCTGGCTATGCTGTATCTTGTGGGTTTTTTTACTGCTCTTGTTTAAAAAAAACCTAATAACACTTTTCTGTATGGTTAATTATAAATATCGTAGAGGTTACAAACTTGGGTGTCTGTGGTTCTGGCCTATAGTTCTGGAATGGCTGTGTAAGACAAAGGACTGAGGCTTTTTTCTCATTTTAACTCTGTCCTCTAGTGGTAAAGTCTGGAAGTATATAAATATCAAAGAGGAAGCATGTAAATATCAGAAAAAATAATCAAATAAATGAACGGTTAGTCAGCTTCACTGTATTTTATTCCATTATATTTTCTGAAGTATATTTAATATTCTTAATATGTTGTTTTTGCAGTCATTCCTTGCCAAACAGCCAGCAACGCCTACAAGAGCATCAGTAAGTAGATCCAAGAGAAGAGTAGGTGTTTTGTTTCCTTTTAGGGAAGAGGGAATGATTCTAACCTGTAGATGTTCATTTTGTAAATATAAATGTAAAATACATAATCTCCCCAAACTGCAGAGAGTAAATTTTTTAAAAAGCAGCAATATTTTAGTGTAGCTTACAAATGACTATGTTCTAATTCACTGTGGAAGCATAGAAATCTCTGATGATTGTTGCACAGAAAATTTCCTACAGTGTTTCATCCTTTGTTATAGCGGAGGCACATGCCCAAAATAACGGGTGATGTTTTGTTTGGTTGGTTTTTTCTTTTTTTTTCCCAGTGTGCATACACTGCAGTGCCAATATAAAGGTTTAAAAAGTAATTTGTATGTAACATTACATTTGCTTTATGTCACTAATCCATTTAAGTTCTTCTCTGATTTGTGTGATGTGGACTTCTTTTAAGGAATCTCCTGCAAGAGGCCCTGCAGGATCCCCAAGAACTCAAGGCAGAGCTGGTCCCGCCAATGTACCCAGTGCCTCACCAATAACATCAGTTAAGAAACCAGATCCAAATATTAAAAGTATGAATAAGCATTTTACTGTTTTTATGATGTGTTATTTCCCTTTAACAAAAAAAATCCTCTTTTGTAGAAAGATTTTGGAATTTATTCACTAATGGTATAGTTAGTTTAATAACAGGAATGAATTTATGACATAGCTTCAGGTTTGATTTTCTTTTCTTTTTTTTTTTTTTTGAGTCATTTGTGTGAGTTGCAGTGGAGTTCTGTTATTGCCATAATGTTGGAATATATTATTTCCTGAAGTTGCCTAGATACATTTATTACGCAGCAGTTGGATTATTAGAGTGGGGACTGCTTTAAACTACCCGCAGTTTTATACTTCCTATGGCTTATTGGGGAATCCCCAGTGAAACCTGCTCTACCAAACCCTCTCTCGAATGCCATTTTCTGCAGTAGGTGAAGTACCTTGGAAGTGACGCCCTTTCCCCTCCCTCAGCCCTCAGGTGGAGCTCCAGGTGTTGAGTGGTTTCTTTCCTCTCTGTGCATTAAGAAAGTCCTTAGGGCCAGTATTGTTTTCAGATATGCGCTGTGGTGTCATACCGCACATACGGTGGGTAAAAAATACTTGTGCAGTTCTGCGTTGTGTCTGGTTGCTGTATATCCAGGTTCTGATTCGTGAAGAGTAGTGTGGCGTGAAAGACTGCGCTAAAACGTCTGTGCAGTTTGTTAATGGACTTACAAATCTTTGAATTGCACATCCATACTTCATACATTGTTTCTTGGCTTCTACATTTAGATAAAAAAAAAAGCATAGAAATACTTAGATTAAAATTTTGTCACCCCCCGCCCATTCCAGAAGAGCAGTAATATGTTTTCAGTCATCTCTGACTTTGCCAAAGAATGCAAAGTGAGCAAGGAGAGGCTTTCTCATATTTGAGGATTATTGCCTTGATTGGTAAGAAGGGAGTTATGTATGTACGTAAAAAAAGTAAGTTCTGTCATTTACCAGCAATAACTATTCTGTGATGTGTATATATATTTGTTTTTTATTTAGATAATGCTGCAAGCGAAGGTGTCTTGGCTAGTTTCTTTAACAGTCTCCTGAGCAAAAAGACTGGCTCTCCTGGGAGTCCCGGTGCTGGAGGAGTGCAAAGTACGGCCAAGAAATCAGGTATTGGACTTGTTATCGCGGGCTGTTCAGCGTATTTTTAATATTTTATTTGGCCTATATTGGTGTAACTGCATATATCTTTTAAACTGGTTGGTAAAGGGACAGACCTTGACAGATGACAGTGCTACAGCGTGCAGGCTTTAAATTTAAAGAGCTAAACTGCTGCAACTTCACCACTCTGGGACTTCTATTAAGCCTGTTATAACTTGATTCTTTGAGTCAAATTATACTGCTGGAATATAAATAACATTTGAGTCTTGATGATGATCAGAAAGTGCTGGTTTTTGGGTTTGGTTGTTGGGTTTTTTTTACTTTAGAATTCCTTTCTTAACACTTAACTTGCTGAAGGGAAAGCAGTTCATTGGGTTTGGACTGTAGTTTCCAGTCAAGCTATAGAAATCTCTCCAGAGTTCAAGTTTAAATGAATTACTTCTTACGACAGCTTGAAGTTACCCTGTCATTCATTTAGTATTTGATTGTGATCCAACACAACTGATAACACCAATCAAGTGGATTTGTTCTGTGGGTGTGTGCCTATGACTGCATTGTATGCAAGATGTGCTGATAAGTAATTGCACTGGTTTACGTGAAAATGAAAGAAACCCGTCAGAATCCTTGGTACTTACACAAAACTCTATGTGGTTGTTCCACCCGGTATTAGAAATTTACTACTTTGATTATTTAACTGTTTCTTTTTTATATTGGCGTTCACATCACACTTCGGTTCAGGAGCTTTCCTTCCAGAATTATTTCACTACTAAATTATTGATAGATACTCTACTTCTGATTCCAGACTTGTGAAATCATGTAAAATTTAACAGTGATGCCAAACCCGCGGTTTCTGATGCATAGAGGAGTGTGTAAGGCCCAGATAGTCTGAACAGGAAATGAAAAGTATTTGACACCAGCCACAGTGATGATACTGCCCGTAGGAGAACCAGAGCAGTTGTTAGAGTGTGGGTATTCGAACTGAAACTATTCCTGGAGAGGGAAAGTAAGGATGTTGGGTTGTTTTTTTTTTTTAATTGGGAAGGTTTTTCTACGACATTCCATGCTCTGAAAGCTCAGAAGTGGCTAGAATTTGACTTAAAGCAAGTTAGTATTTTGCTGGGGTCTTTTTGTTTTAGCGTGATGAATTATGTAGTTTATTACATTTATTTATTATAAAGATAACAAAGAATTATTTGTATTACATATTATTTACATAACATTATTGATTCAACATTATAAAAATATTTAATTAATTCTTTCTTAATCCAGAATTCCTTCCTCAGTGAAACACTGAAAGGTGCCCCCTGCTTCATCAAGTGCAGCATCATGCTATTACTGACCACAAGGTCAAATTAACCGTTTTTGTAGAAATAGGACTAGAAATAATTGTTAGGGATTAGTTCATCCATGCTCTTACCTAAAGCAGAATCAGTGAGGGAGTTCCTGGCTAGTGGTTAAAAAGCAAACAGACTCTGAACTGGAAGATGCAATGTCATCTGCCCAGGAAGCCTATGCCAGTACTGCATTTCTTAGTTATTTTTTCTCTTGTGCAGTCAGTATTTTGTGCTCCCAGTACTATTTGTCTTGTTCGAGTGGAGACGGAGATCAGTGTAGCCCCTCTGTCTTTGCAGCAGTCTTTTGCGTATTTGAAAGCTGTTCCCTTTTGCCTCTGGCTTTTGTCTGGACTACAAAAATACGCTTCTCAGCCTTTCCTCGCAGGACGTGGTTTTTGTGGCTCTGATAACTCTTGCTGTTCTCCTTGGGCTACTCCCATGATCTGTTGCTTTTGGTGCTTCAGAGAAGGCTTTGTCTGCCTGAAGTGGGGGTTACTTAAGCTGTGTTATGTGTTCCGCTTGTGTTTAGACCTCTCAGCATGATGCTAGGATTTTTTCATCTGCCTGATATTGATCCGGATTTGTTACAATGCTGCCAGTTTAATACAGTTTCTGCCTCCCAGTAGGATGTTTTCTACTGTGTATCAAATTACTGTAGTATTTCCAAAGGTTGTACATTAGCTTTATCATTGTTTTCCACTCTCTTACTATGCACTGCTTGGATAATTTTTGTATAAATAACTTTGTACCTCCACTCCTGTCTTTCAAAATCCTTTGTAGTCCCTTCAAGAATGCTTGCTTACACATCTGATACCTTCAACAGCTGGACAGGGTGGATTGCTGAATAAAAATGTTGACTAGTACTATCAATAACTAATGGGTAATTTTATGAATTACAATACATTAATTTTTCTGAAATACCAAGACTGGGTTTTTTCTAGTTTGTTTACATGAAGGTCATACAAGATGTGATATCGACCACTTTTCCCTTCTCCGCAGGACCTGTTATGCTATCATAGAAAGAAATTTGGTTGGCTTCACACACCTTGTTGGTAACAGATGCGTGTTGATTGTTGTGCTGGTACGCTGTTTGTAAGCACTTAAAACATAATTGCAATTTCTGGAAAAAATACTAGAGTTAAAACTAACTAGTCTGTAACGGGCTTCATTCTTTCCTCTTTCAGTCTTCTAGAACATCATGTGCCTTTCAGGAGTTTTCAAAGATAACAAATGGCTATGTGTACCTTTTTTTCTTTTCCCTTGTGTCAGCATTAACGTCTAATTTAAATAGAAGATTTCTCTCCTGAAACATCTAGAGACAACAGTCATATATCCTTTCTTAACTTCCTTGTTTTGGTAGACTAAATTAGACAAGTTCTCTTCTAGACTTCTGTTAGAGGTTGAGCTCTCTTCTCCCTACTAGTTTCTTCATTAGTTCCCATCATTGGCTTATCTTTTTGTGAACACGTGTCATTAGAATTGCATGCAGCACTCCAGATATATCTCACTGTAGTGCCTGCTACAGCAGTTGTCTTTCTTTGGTGGAAGAACTTCTCCTGAGTGATCTCAAGATCGCAGGTGGCTTTTCTGGGCTGCATTAAGTTGGCAGCCTGCGCTCATTCCCTGACTTTCGGAACAGAACAGTTGGCTTTCCCTCACAAGAGAACATGCCTGTTCCTTGTCAGCTGCTGTGCTCACATCTTATATTCTACCAATATAAGGTTAAACTGTCCTGAGAAGGTAAGGGCTCCTAACCTTGCTATCTGAGAAGCTCTCGTTGAGTCTATGAGGTAGCTGGTGCTGGTGATAACAGAAAAGATCTTTTGTGGAAGAGCTGAGGGGAATATCTTGGAGAAAGTCCTATTTACGGCAGCACCCTCTGGGCAAGTAAATGTGCTACAGCAATCTTTGTAGGTGTTTGAAATGTCTAATCTCAACTGTTTAAAGAGCCCTAAGTTTTCAGAGGGTTGACATTAAAATTGTTTAACTGTCAAGAGACCATGTGTTTCTCCCACAGCTATGAATATCCTGTGATTCACACGTTGAGATTCTGTCACAGGATGAGGGAGACATTGTGGATCTCGGCATAGTGGTCAGCCTGACTGATTGATTGATTTCTGCTGTGTTAACTCTTACTTGAGAGGACTCTCTTGTCCGGGCAGATGCTGCAATGTCACATTCGTTTTTCACTTGTAATTCCTCCCCCATCTGATTTGCCGTTGTATTTCTGGACTGTCTTTCTTCCTGTGTAGACCATGCTATTTCAAAGAACGTCAATTGGTGGTTTCTGTGGTGGATTTTTTTGCTTCGCATGGACTTCTAGACTTTAAAAAGTTATTTCACTTATATCCACAAGAAGATTCTTGCAAATTCCAAGATTTGCCTTCACCCTTCTATTCCTGGGCAATAGGTAAAGAACTGGGGTTCCCTGCTCCCACTTTAACCGGCAAAGGAGAATACCTATAATTGTGCAGCACGCATCTAATTGACTAAGGCCGTTACTGTCCTTGACAGTATTGTCAAGTACCAGTTTAGTTCAGAAGGGAGGGGAAGTTTTTCTTTTCTTAAAAACAGCTCCTTGTATTTCTTGTTTTTCGAAAGGCGCTCGCCTGTGGCGGTGGTGAAGGGGAGTACGCAACCTACATTCCGCCCAGCAGCAGCTAGGCCGGGTTCTTCTGCCCAGGGTGAGGGAGTTGCAGGAGACAGCTGCTTGGTATTATTTTGGAGGCTTAAGGATCCAGTTTGTCTCGCATAAAAAAAAAAAAGGCACAGTTTTTGTTTAGACCTACTTTTGTTTGAGTGAGAATTTTGTGTGGGGTTTTTTTGGTTTAGGGTTTAGGCTTTTTAACTCCAATATACCGTGAGTCTACATGTAAAGTGATTTGTGTTGTAAGTTATATCACAGTTAATGTACTAATTTTTAAATTTTGTTTAAATACTCTTAATATCATCTATTCAGTGGATGAGTACTGTGGCCTATGACTACTGCTTAAATCTAAACCCTTTATAGTGATTAAAGGTAACCTTTTAACTTGGTTATGTCTTTGTACTTTGGAAAAAACCACTTAAATCTCGAACAGTCAAATCTTGCCTTCTTAATGCTTTCAGCATGTACCCTGGAAAAAATCCACCTAATATTTCACACACATTTGAGCTGGAAAACAGATGCTTGTTAAATTCTTTGGCTATGTAAGGAAGCTGTACATGGTTATATAATCTACTTTTTGTCTAAAAATACAGCTTTTTAATCTTAAATGCTTGTATGCTCTAAGCATTAGAATATATTGTTCCAGTTGTAGTGATTAATTTGTCTGTGGGTTTATAATTTTCAGAATGAGAGAATTAAACTGATGGTTCAGTTGGAGAATTGTTAAAAAGTTTTGAGTCTAATATAAAAATGTAAGATACGCCTTTCCATGAAATACTTCGGTGTGTCTGTTTCCAATTGAAGAAGGCCTTTGAAATGACTGCTCTGAGATATTACATGAATATGCAATTCACGTCCCCTTTTGCTAGGGGAAACATTGTCTGCAGACATAAAAGAGTTCTTCCTGCTAGTTGTTTAACATTAAAATACAGCAAGTATAAGTGTGACCAAACAAATGGGATTTTTGTAGCAGGTGTCCTACGTAACTTGGAAAACTTGAGGTTAAAATCTGGGTTTAAATAAAACTCTATCAATAATAATAATAATAGAATTGTGTACAGTTGGTTTTTATAGAAAATTCTAAATGTGGATTTTAAAATGTTAGTTGCTGCAGAATATATCACGGATGTTTTGTGCTTTACGCTGCTGTATAATTCAGCATTGCATCTCTTCAGCGTGAATCAAACCTTAGTATTTGTCAGTCTTTAGAGACATTACCTTGCATTGTGTCAGGCCCTGTGTTCTTGGGTAGGTGCCGAAATAATGAGAAATTCAGTAATGTATTGTCATATAAAAGTGATTTTATGAAAGCGTGTACTCATTGGTTAAACCATTTTGCTGAAATTAGATTGCTTTAACCTGGTTCTATTTTTTTTCCTTAGGACAAAAAACAGTTTTGACAAACGTTCAAGAGGAATTGGATAGGATGACCCGCAAGCCAGACTCTATGGTAACAACAAACTCGCCTCCAACAGAGAACGAAGCTTGATAGCGCATAAAAACTGCATATGTAAATGACCAAATAACTATGTATATTGATCTGATAAGACCAGGAATTTTCTGCTATGGCAGATGCTATCAGTTTTCTTGGGGCAGGGGAAATGAGCTTACTATGTCATTGCCTTGTCCCAGTAAAAAGTGCACATTCAGGAAGTTTGCGTATAAAATCCCTCTGTATAAGATAACCATTTAGAGTTTATATAGGGCAATTCTTTTGGTTTTGGAGGTAAGCAGGTGCAGCTGCCTTTCCTGTTGTGAAGAACACAGAGAAGCAAAATGGAGAATACTTATTAAAATACTACTACTGACTGCACACGAGGAGAGAAAAAGAAGTGAAATCCTCTTTCAGAGTTACTGGAATTGGCTACTTGTATGTTTGCAAATGCATTATATACTTGGAAAGGAGGTGGTGGTGGTGGTGGTACAGAGCATTAATTAGGTGAAAGAAGCCTGGGTAGGGAATGGAGCCCTCAGCGGGGAACAGATTTGGGACAGTGAGAAACTAGAACGTTGGATTGACTGGAGAGGAGCAATGTCGTGAAGCCCTGTGTTTCGCATAGGGTAAATTATCACTGTTTTAAAAAGACTACTTTACATTGGAGAATTCCAGGCCAAACACTAAGCATCACGGGAATTTATTCTTGTTATAAACCTTGTTTTAGCTTTTAAAAAAGTCGAAGAGTGTGGATGCCCTTTCTGGTGTAGCTGACAAAGGGAGAAACTATAACTTGTTTAGATCCAAGTGCCTGGCACAGGGTGTGATGTGTCTTTAGAAGGTGCTTGAACTTATTGTGCACTGTAGTACAAACAGTCACTGTTTGGTTTTATTTTAAAATCAGTAGTTTGGCGATTTGTATTTAATTTTAAATCCTGTTTTCCGATAGCTTCTGCCTTTTTTTTATGCCAAGAGGCTAGCCTATGAAGAATGGTGGGTGACGTATCATTTTCCCATAATGAAATGTGCTACAGAACACTCAGTATTTTTTTTTCTTACTTTTTGTAACTAAATGTTAGCTACCAAGCTAAAAGCGATTCCTGCCTTACACCTCTGGAGGTTTTTAAAAAAAACTTTCAAGGCCCTAGTTCCAACCACATCTGCTGCAGGTGCAGCCAACTCCAATTCTAACCTAAAAAGTCTGAATGTGTACATGGTGGACGTACTCAATAACTTGTTTTGTATTTTCTGTAATGTAGCATTTCATTTGGAAAGATGGGCTGTGGTTGTCCCCGTTGCTGTAACGGAGCTCTGCCCATGGTCGCATAGAACCATCATTCTGTAAAAACATACAAAACTGCTATGGTTACTGAAATGGCACTTTGATTTTATATACGGTATGCTTGTTTTACATGTACACACTACCATAAATTAAAAATACCAAGCATATTCTGTGCTCTTAACGTTGAAGGGAAAAAACCACAATTTGAATTATGCAGAGTTTACTTTTTATTGAACTTGTTGTACTAAATCTGATGTCTGGATATAACTTCCCTAATATATATTGCTACTTAAATATACAGAATTAGACTGACCACTAACACAGTACTGGATGTTAACTTCAAACCCTGCGTTACATCAAGAGGCTGTTCTTGTAAGTCTGTCGAAACATTATCTAGAAAGCTAAGAGTATTTACTTGCCTCTTTGACAAACATTAACATGAGTATGTTACTTGTGCCAGTTTTTTTGTCGAAAATATTATATTTTTCTTTTTTTTTTTTACTTTTTTTAATAAACGGTATGACCTGAAGTTATACAGTTGTTTAGATAAGAGTTAGATTAAGACTGTGGATGGCTGATGGGTCATGTGGATGTACTTCTGGTGTCCCGGGTGCCAGCTGCAAGTTGCCGCACCAGAAGAAGTAATTACACACTGTCCTCCTGACACTGAGACTGGAGACTAAACCATCACAAACTCGACAGGAAAATGGAAAAAGTGTCTGATCGTAATGGGATATAGCATGAAAACCTCAGTCTGAAACTGCATTTTTTTGTCATCTAACCTGATAAGCACTTTCTCTAGCAACGTGGCTACAACTTAAAATTGAAGTACTTTCCAGGTCAATAAAAATGTTAAATCTACTAAAATGGATCAAACCTGATAACGTATGATAACTTACCAGCTTTGCAGAGAGACGCTTCTGACAAAAGAGAACAGCTTTCCGGTTTCTAATCGCAAGTGAATGCTCCTAGTTTCTTGGAAGGAAGTTGTAAGTAATGTAGCATCCCGTGGTTGCCAAAGTCCGTCAACTTTGGTGAGCTGCACAGTTGTTATTCTGGTGTCTTCAAGCATTGGAACCAAAGGCCAAATTGCAAACAGCCTTTACATTTTCAAGTGAAACTTCATTTTATTTGCAGATACACTTGTATGGTAGACTGTTTAAACTATTATATGACTATATTTATATGCATTATAGTGACTGCATCTACTGTTCATGTTTAAACTAAGAAAACAAAAGATGAAAGCATTCAACTTGAAGTAAATAGAAAAGTTTAAAGATTGGCCTTCCATAAAAATGCTGTGGTTATGCTGCTTGATTTTAAGTTTGCACTTTTTTTATTGGCATTTAAAAAAACCTGTTTAAACTGAACAGAATTTCGTATTTTATTTAATTTAACTATGTTGAAAGTGACTGCTCTGTACATCATGAACTTAACAATATACATGCTGTAAATGAAAGTTCACTGTCCTGTATACTAAGTTTATTGGGGTTTTTTTCCAACTTACAATTAGGACTGCAAATGTATGAAACAAACCTTAGTCCAGTTGTATGGCTTTAACCAGGTGCAGTATGCAGTCATGTGGAATCTTGCTTTCTAGTGCTGGCAAAATGAGGACGTCTTTAATTACTGGCTTCAATAAACACGAATCCAGACTGCTTTACGCTGTGCTTTTTGTTTTGTTTTTCAGATCGCCCTTCTAGAGCTGTTTCGGTGGGAGCAGAATAGTAGCGAGTTCTGTGAACAGGAAAAATAAGTCTGTTTGTACAGTTGTGTACCCTAATGACAGCTTCCTTCCTGGGAGTTGTTGTACCGGCCTTTGCTCACGCAGCTCCCCTCCGGAGCTCGGAGCGCGCACCCCGTGTCAGTACAGCGGAGGTGGTACAGCTGCGATTGCAGGGAGAGGTGCGCTCCTGACAGCTCACACGTAGGCAGTTACGGCAGCAGAACTGGGGCTGATGCGAAGGAATGTGTTTCATGAGAATGGAGAGTGTCTATTTGCCCAGGTTAAGTTGTAAAATTTCTAATATATTTTGTGGAATTCTGTATCCAAGCAGAGCACTGGTTCTGAATTTGCAGGATTAAAATCCAGTTTACGAGAAGTTTAAGGGGTGAGTTGCTTGAGTGGTGCAAATGCCTCTTCTCTGCCAGTAGCAAAGCCAAGTTTTCTCCCGTCGGTGGGTGTGACAAGTTCTTCCCAGGGAGCATAGAAAGAGTAGACTGACTTAATGAGGATTCTACTTGTTTACTTCATTGTTACTTTAACTGGATGCCTGTATACTCCCCTGCATAGGTTGAAGTTGTAGTTACTAATGTTTCTTGAGTCCCCCTGCTTCTGAAATACTACTAAGCTTTTGGTTTCTAAAATACAGTTTCTCTAGAAGTGACTCTTTATGAGGCCATGAAACAACTATCATGTGAGAATTGTTATAAAGCTTTATGTTTTCATGAGTTCATTAATGTAAAGAATTAGTTTTAGTCCCTTAAGGTGGGATTTAGAAAATATTTCTTGAATATATGAAGAGAATTATCTATTATGTTAATTTGGAAGGAAATGAAATTAAGACTTCATCTTCAGATGTGCTGAAGTTGAAAATTACTTTCTTCAGAAAGATGTAACAGTGGATCGAAATGGAAGAACACCCTTTTAACTGTCTTTACTTTGCTGCTGTTCAAATGTCATTTGGTTTTTTTTGAAAGCAAAATATCTCCAGATACGAAAACAAAAAAATGGGATAATAAGGTCTTGGTCTGCAAACATCTTGCTGGGGGCTCTAGGCTGCTCTTCCAAGATGACTCTTCCAGTGCCTGTACTGTTCCAGATGGTGGTGGTAACCCCTCTGGCTTTTCAGCCACAGCAGGATTTTGTTAGGGAATTAACTTCTCGGATAAGAACCTTTTGCTTGAATAAAATCATCAGTTTCTGAGTCTTTGTAGTTCAAAGACATACAAGGGAAAGGCTGTAGATCAGTAGGTGGTTACTGATGACCTAAAGCAGACTCTTGTCTGGGTCTGTATGTAGAGCTGCATAGAATATCTAAATTGAACATTTAGTGCCAAAAGCAGAACCTGTCTGTTACTTGGTCTTTTTAGTTAAAAAAAATAAATAATATATTCATAGGATAGAGGCAGTTTAATTCCAAAAGCACTTGTGCTGGAATTCAGCTTCCCCTCCGAGGAAGCACTGACATAATACTCGCAGCCTGTTCTACCACAGCTTTCCTAATAATTACTTACTACGCCTCTGATCTGCTCACACAGTGTGGAGAAGATAATGTGAGCCCAAATAACGAAGAAAGCCAACAGTCCGAACTAACGCTTTGGGTCGCCACGTGGCTCTGGTTTCACAAACATCCAAGATCTCTGCAGTCAGTTGTAACTGTGGTTTGCAAAGGGCCGTTGCAGCAGCGCAGGCGAGGGCAGCGTCTCGTCTGGCACGCTGGCTTTGCTCTGGGAAAGTGGAATGAAACAAGCTCTGACTCACACATGCGCATCACTGCCTCTTGAAATTCAAGTGCTCTTAAAAAGCTCAAGGAAGTTAATTTTCTCAAATGAAGTGCTTTACAAGTGGTAGTATAAATGTGGTGAAATGCTTCAAAATCACACGCGTTTCCGTAAATCTTCAGCATAGGGCACCTAATTCTGCTTTAAACTGGCTGAGCAGTAGCACCTCAGACATTTCTTTTGCCAAATACAGCAACACGCCGAAGAGCGTAGTGCTGACATTGCTTAGAAATGAAAGATGCACAAGATTTGACATGTCAGCGTAAGTTGCCGTGCAGCACCATTGCCCTCCGAAACGGCTGTGTCGTCATTCGGGTTGTGGTCCGGTATGGGGACTCACAGACCTGGTGTCACTGGGGGCGTATGTTGACACCGCGCTGATGGCTACATGCAAGAGGTCTGTAAGATGATGCCGTAAACAATGGAGGCAATTTATTTTTTCTGTTGCCTTTGTTTGCAGACTGGCTATGTGGCAGAATCAGCATTGCTAGTTGTCACTTTTTATCTGAAGAAGAAGCTCTTTCGTGCCCTGACAATGGATTATCACTGTGTTTTGCTGAAAGTTTCTGGAGAGGGAACGTTCCAAGCCCAGAAGGTGGCAGAGTTGGGATCGATGCCTGTAGGTAACGCTGCTTACTGCGCCATTGCAAGGTGCTGTATGCGTTGCTGGTCACGGTCCCTTCGGAATTCTTGTTTGGCAGATGATTATTTTTTATTTTTTTTAGGTTAAGTCTCTTTCAAAGAGTGAATTGCGGAGTTTTTTCTAAATAAAAGCAGTTTCATTCATTTCTAAGAATCTTGTTAATATGGGCTAAGCTTTTTTTCTTTCTGAGTTGTCTTAATTAAGACACTCTGGTCCCTTTCTTTCGAGCTAAAGCTGAAATAGTGATGTCCAGCACTAAAAGAACACTGTTGTATCTGCACACGCAGAAGCTGCCTTTGAAAAGTATTTGATTTTTCAATATCAATATTTACTAATGAAAGTGTTGATACTTGTAACACTCAGTGTAGCTTTGACACATGTAAAAACGGCATCCTTGTTTCAGACTTGCCAAATGCTCAAAAACCAAAAAAATCCTTCAACATATGCCAGAAAGGTGGCTGCAACCAAAAGGTGTGAGGCTTGCATTAATGTTCGCAAGAATGCGCAGTAAAATATTGACGTTCTCGAGCAAAGGAAACGTGCAATTGTAAATCTCTGGCAAGCGGCTTACCAGGTTGACAGCATTCCAAAGAAACGGGGAGTTTCCTTTTGGAGAGGGAAGGAAATGGCAGTATTGGAATGGAGTTAATTGACAGAAGAGGGAATAAGACCACTGAAAAGATGGAGATGGCTACTGGTTTGGACCAGATCAACTTGATTTAGATCAGATATTGAGAAGAAGTTCTCTCCTGTGAGGGCGGTGATCCCCTGGGGCAGGTTGCCCCGAGAAGCTGTGGCTGGCCCATCCCTGGAGGTGTTCAAGGCCAGGTTGGACGGGGCTTGGAGCAACCTGGGCTGGGGGGAGGTGGCCCTGCCCAGGGCAGGGGGGGGCAACTGGGTGGTCTTCAAGGTCCCTTCCAACCCAAACCATTCTGTGATTCTGTGATAATGTTATGATTCTATGGTGAACGTTACTTGCTTGGTTGATTAATAAAAGTTGGTTTACATTGATAATAAATCACTATCAAATTAAAACCTCTCTTTTCCAGAGGAACCAAATGATTATCCATGAAGGACTTGGTATACTGACTATGCTTTGGACATTATTAGAAAGTGAAGAGGTTCAAAATTTTCAGATGGTCTAAAAGACTTACGTTACTGTGCCCATAGGCAGAGAGGGAGAAGTAGAAAAAAATCCATTTGATTAAAGATCAATCACTGACTGCAGAGAAAATCTCTTAAATATAAACAAAGGCAAAAGGCCAGGGGAGAGCTCTTGGTACCTCCAGCCAAACCCAGAACTGGGTTTATCTAGCTCTGGTGCGGAGGTCAGAAAGGAGCGTGACAGAGACTTTCTCGTCTGTGCTGTAACCTCCCTGTGCGACCCAGCACAGCAGCTGGCGGCTGAGGAGCCCCTTTGGTAGGAAGTGCTGGTTCCTGGTGGGATGGGCTGGCTGGGAGACAAGCGAGTGCTCTATTAGCCGTTGGCAGATGTAAGAGCTTGGGGTTACTGAAATAATCCTGAACTTTGTGCGTGTCGCAAACCGGAGTTGTTACACACAGGTTTATTTTCCTGGGAAAAGCAAACATGCTCCAGAAAAATACTGGATTGTCAGTAGGCAGCTATAATTAGCAACTGTTTAATTAGCTGTAGTAGGATGTTTTGACCAATAGCTTGCGATGCTGTTTTGGTGGGCTGAGAAGCTGCCAGTGAAATCGGCAGGATCTGAAATATTTCAAATTTAGCAAAAGCCTGCCAAAATCTCTCCGGGTCACCTTTTAGCTGAACACAACACAACTATTAAGAGAATGCTGTTGTATGTACAATATTTTTAGCACACTTTCCTCTGCTTCTGCATTTGTGCTCTGCCCTATTACCCCCTCCATTAAATAACTTGAATCTTTTTGCCAGCTTCAGTAACAAGAAAGACCTCGCAGATAGCTGACTTAATACCAGTTGCATGAAAATTCGTGGCTTGGTGGAGACGATAAATCCAAAGATTTCCTCTGCTTTAGGCGGGGATTGCCAAGGCAGTTTGGCTAGTTTGTAGGCGAGACGGGCCAAAGAGAGATCTGCTGGTCTGCGCAGATGGAACCTGGCGGAGCACTTGCTTCCTTTCGCTCAGGCAGGAGTTGGAGGACGTAAATAGGAGCTAATCCTGCGGTGTGTGCAAAGGGAGCCTCGGGAGGGTGCTGGGCCGCTGGGCTCGGAGGGAGGGGTGAGGTGGGGAAGGTGGGAAGAGAAGACTACGTCTGCAAGGAATCAGGATTTATTAGTTCCGCTGTGTATGGGCTCTGTAGAGTTGGGGCCATGTGCCTGCCCTGAGTTTATAGCCAGGGATGGAAGACTTGAAATGATTTTTCCTGTTTAAAAAAAGAAAGAAAGACAAAAAAAAAAAAAGCCAAAACTTTCCCTCGCATGTAGAAGACCCGTGTAACTACAGAAATACTCTGCAAGGGAATGAGCCAAATTAGCTCAATATAAAGCTTTGTCATATGGAGAAATTAAGTGCTGCTGCAAAAAAAGGAGTATTCTTTGAACTGTTGTTACGTTAGCAATAGCTGTAAGTAAAACAAATGCAGAAGGATAATTAAAAAATGAACTTTTTTAACATTTGCAATTCCCCACCAGAAGTGCAGGCAACGGATTGGTTTGGTTACGTTAACAACAAACACAGCATTAAAGCAGTTGAGGTCAGTTGTTTTCGCTGGCCCATTTCGTCCATGGAAAGAAGGAATGCAGTGAGTGTACTTCATCTTTTTTTTTTTTTTTTAAGCCTGCTAAGGGACCTTTAAAACTTTGCTTATAAAACACGGTTTATACAATTTTTCATCCTCCCCTTCAGCTTCCCAACTCCTCCAAAAATAAAAATCGGCTTTTTCCCTCCAAAGGCTTGCTGTACCCTACCCGCCCCAGCTCGTGCTATAAAAATACCGTCTATCGCGGGGGCAGCATGACCATGCCCACGCAGGCAGAGGGAACCAGTGTTTTCTGACCTTCTGTTCCAGGCCTGTGTGTTGTTATGGGTTTATTGGAAGAAGACTACCTTTTTTCTCGGTTCAGGGCTTTTTCCCCCCTCTGTTCTCTGAATAAATGTAGTGCCATGAATAAAATAAACACTGCTGTCAGTCTCTCTGCATATTTTTCAGCGTGCTTCATTATACAGGATTCTTTCAAAAGAAATATAACCCACAGTCTTGGCTGGTTCCCAGCACCGTTAAAGGTCTACTGGCACTTTTCTTAAGCGTATGAGGTTTTGCTTCTATTTTTTATAGAAATTAATTTCACCTCCCTGCTATGTAGAATGTCTGCTGCCCTTCAGCCCAGATGTGGCTGCAAGGTAACCCCTCTCTGGCACTTGCAGATTGAAGATGTCCTTAAAAGTTTTTTGGAGGTGAAAGGAGTCTGCGACTACTTCATCAGCAATGAAGGCAGGGGGAAAAAAAACCTGGACCAGTACACAATTACTGAAGGAGACCTCAATCTCTCATCCTAGAGTAAAATATAAAATAAATTTCCTCTGTGAATGGCTCATTGTTAATAGCATATAAAGTCATGTTCTTAAGTCTGCACAGTAAGGGTCGGTCTAACGTCATTGGCCATGTTGCCTTCCTTGTTTTTCTTTTTTAGGGGACTTTTTTCTTTTGGTTATTTTGGTTTTGAAGGGGAAATGATGTTTCCTGATAGTGATGGTGAAATTCCACGAGTGACATTGTTACCTGTCCCGTTCAGAGGCGAAGCCAACCCCACATAGCTCTTTGGGACAGGTCCTGCAGTGACCTCTGGCCACCACTGCCTTCTGGTCCCAGCCGTGAGCCCTGGTGGCTGCCCCAGGGTGCCCATACTGGAGGCATCCGTCACACGAGCGTACCAGGCCTGTCGGGGCTGCGCGCTCTATTTTCCAGAGCATAGGGGCTGGACTACTGGTGAAGGTGCTGAAGGTCTGCAGGGGCTCACCTTATAGTGTAACTGCAGGGCAGGAACAGGATTCACTCGCGCTTTCTGCCACTAAAGCTGCACTTTTTTAATGAGAAGAAAAGGTGAGAGTCGCTCACTGTGCTCTGTCAGTACGTGCCTGAAACACCCCGACCAAACCACCAGATTTGAGAAGTGGGTGCTGCACCGTCAGCCCGTGAAACGTTTCTGGATATTCAGTGGAAGAAGCTTTCATAGGTTGCCCTTCAAATTCATTTCTTTCTGTCCTCCTCTCTGCTTTTCTGGGTACTTTCCTCAGTTGATATATGACTGTGCTTTGTCTCCTAGCTGAGGAATTCAGTTCTCGTTATTGTCCCCGAGGTGCCTTTACGCTGAGTGGCCTTATCCTGAGCGGCTGCTTCAGCTGTGGCTGGACATGGCAAAGTGGGAATCGTCGTACTGTTCATCAGCAGGTATCTGCTACCAGTTAGAGATAACCTTTAAGCAGTTTTCTTTCTGCTTAAAGTCCACGTCAGAACTTGCATCTTATTCCTGGTGTATTAATTCCTAACTCTGACTCAGCAAAATGATTTGCCTGCTTCCCATGCTGCTCATGGCTACAGAATCAAAGTGTGCACGCCACACTCCCACACTGTGAGAACGGACAATTTACTGAACTAAGGCACTTAAAAAATCCAGATGTTTTCCTATAGCAAGTTCCTTAGTAGCTTTTTAGGGTGGGGTGGGGTTTGGTGTTTTTTTTTTTCTCCAAGTGAAAAGTTGAGAAAAAGCTTCAGCGGTTTTTACATTGAGAAATTCAAGGGGAAAAAAGCCTCCTCTCTGATGCCAGAGTTAAACTCTAATCACTGCTCAGCTCTCTTGGAATTTGGCAGCATACCAGTGCTCCTTCCCTTTGGTAGGTCATGTGGAAATACCGGAGCATTTTCTTAAAGAACCTCTCAGCTCTTTTCAGGTACTTCCACAGATGTAACTTTCCTGTTAGGAGTCTAATTTCTTTTGCACTCTTAACTACATTTAAGCACCATTCGTAATAAGCACTGTGCGTATCTACAAAATTGTATGTATAAACATTGTAATACTTTTAAGTGTCTTAAAGCTACATAAATGCAGCTTTAAAAATCTGGGTTTAAGTTGATTTTCCTATTCAGCTGCAATAGAATCACACCCTTTAATCTTGAAAATAAATATGCTTAATGAAATGAACCCACAAGAAGTTCACAAGTTTATTAAAGGCTGTACGAATGGCTGAGGTGAAATTTGAGAGATGAGGGTCGTTTTGTTCAGTTTGATCAGTGATAATATCTAAGATTCTCTTTCCGCTTCTTTTTACACCTAAATCACCAGTTGGTTTTAATTTATCACCACTGTCCTGGAGATTCTGATGAGGCATTTCTCATTCTGTCAAAGCTGGCTTAACCGTTCCATAAAAATACAGATCTTTGATCATGTGGGTCTATGAATAGCATACTTGGATTTCCTCCCCTCTGTGCTCTTTCTTCCTTGTTTTCACTAATCAGTCATATTTTAGCTGGATATGAGGTCCTCTCTGATGAATTCCGTGATCAGATTAGCTTGATACTGTGGTGGTGTCTCCAGTGCAGATCACTGACCTGGTTCCCCATTTTCCCGGCCCTGGTACGCAGCCACCCGATGGAACGGCAGGCTGTGCTTGGAAAGCTTAGGAACCTGTAAAAACAAAGTTATCTGAAAGCAACGTGATCTGCCTTGGATGAATGCAGTGACCTTTTTACTGGATCAATACTTTTATTTACATATCCAACATAGACATTTTTTCCTTCAAGTGCTACAGCGCAGGCTGAAAAGGTGCCGTATCAGGCAAGAATGTGTGTAAAGGATTCCTTTGTTAAATGTTGGCAGCAACCTCGCGAGCCCTTGCCAAGTCTGTCCAGCCCACCCACCCGTCCAGGAGGACGCCAGAAAATCCCCCAGTAAGGCTTGGTATTGGCGCGGTGCCCTTTACAGCAAGGGAGGGGCAGCTGTACAGAGCCCGGTGCCGAGAGGGGCACCATGGCTATGGGCAGCGATGCCGATATCCCGCTGCCCCAGGAGCTGCCTGGAATGTCTGTGAAACCCCGGTCGGCGACACTGCCAATGGGCTCGCTGAAAACATGCCTCGCAATTGTTCAAATAACGCTTCCGACAGAGTGGAGAGAACACTTACTGTGCTTTCAGTGCCTAGGCAATTACCTCGCTAAAGAACAGAGGGGGTTCGGTGTGTCTATGCATCGCAGAATTCTCAAAATGCTCTAATGATTTTAAATACATTTAAACTTTGCATCCTCCGCTAAGCTATTAAGGAGTTTGCTGAAGGCTGCACAGGAGGCAGTGGCAATGCCAAAAGCCAGAATCAAGATCTCTTATCGCCTAGCCTTTTTCTTAAATCACTCAACCATCGCTCCCTTTGTCCTTCATTTGCCTTCTGCAATGCCACCTTTTGATTCTCCTTCAACGTACTGATCTGTTTTGGTCAGAACTGCAAAAGATCCATCAAAATAATGTTCACTGGATATTTCAAAAATGTTTTCATTATTTTGCTCAAGATAGTTTCCTCGAACTCAAAACAAATGTTAGATGTCGCTATAGGTAAACGTGGATAACCTGTGTTCCTGAAACAGCTGTGGAGCCTTAAGTTAAAAAAAATCCAGAGATGCTCTTGTGAGTGGCAACCCATGATATTTCCTGCAAGAAAAGGAGCTGATTTCCCAGGAGTTGTACAAGAACTGAAATAAGAGAGTGTAAAAACCTGTGAGTCCATCATGGCCAGCCCCATGCCAATGCAGGGTTTTCCTCTTACATTTATGATTTCATGTTAGGCTAGTTTCATGTGACCCAAGCAACAGAGTTGCCATCCTTCTCCATGCCTCACTCATGTTTTCTTCTTATTTTTTTTTCTTTTCCTGAGATTTGCCCTTTACCAAAGGGCAATGGTTTTGTTTCTTAAGCATGTCTCCTGACTCTTCATCTTGCCTGAGAGTATCAGCCTCTCCCAGCACCCCGGAGCAGCTATGAAAAGACTTTTATTGGCTGCATACTGCCAACGATGCCTCCAGTTAACCAAGCAACGACTGTTAAGGGTAGACAAAACCCCAACTCTTTCTCCATCCAGGGGTCCTGGTGTGCTCTCTGAGCCTGTCTCTTTGGCCTTCCTTCTTAGGGTCTACTTATACAGAGGCCAAAGAAAAGCAGAAAAACCTCTTGACATTAAAAATCACGTGGTACTAGGCAGAACCCTCTAAAAAGGAGGATTAAAGGGGCTTCAAGAGAACTGAAAGGGAGAGGTGAAGCAACACACAAAGGTGACTGGAAAGGAAATCACAAGTTTGATAATCCACATTGTTCATGGAAAACAGAAAAACTGTAGTGGTAAGAAAGGCTCTTGGGGGCCCGAGGAAGATGTGGGAAGAATTGATACATGTGAAAGTCCTACAGTACTAGTAACACGAAAGAGGAGAAAACGCTGTAGCCTGTCAACGAGGAGAAGGAGAGGAGGGATCTGGCTGATGGAGATGGCAGATGACCATTCAGAACGCTGAACACCTTGAATTTGGGCTCGGTCTGCGGTACGCAGCAGCTTCTGCCTCTTTCCACGCTGAAAAACCCTTCTCCAGCCGCAGTGGGTACACCTGTATTTGCCAGATCACGCCACAATTTCTCCTTGTTCGTGGTGACGCCGCAGGAGAAAAAGCATCTCCGCGCAGTGACTCAGAGCCTGCCCCACACCAACCCTTGCCCTGGAGAACGCCACTATTTACAATTATGCTTCGCAGCGTTTGTAAGGCTCAGGGAGGAATACCCCGAGGGTTTCCACTATCCCAACTACCGAATCACCACCAATGCATGTAAAAACACCCCGAAGTCAGAAAGCCTTTAAGGCCACAGACCTTTCCTTCCTCCCGGGGTGGCACAACTACCGTCCGTCCCCCCTCCCCCCGGCGGGCCTGGGCCTGGGCCTGGGCCGGTATCGGTGCCGGTGCCGGAACGGGGCGGTCCGGGCCGGCGGCAGCAGCAGCACCGCCCGGCGGCGGTCT